GGGGTGGTTGGGCCAAGGAAATGAGCTGCGGAATGAATTGAAACTGGAGGGCAGAAAGGTGGGGATGTTGGGATGATTACAGATAAAATGATGCAATGTCGGGGATGGCTCCAAAGTCATCTGGGTGGGGTCGCGTGGGGATTCAGCAAGGGAAGGACAGTGGAGTGGCTGCGAGGGGGTAAGCGGAGGAGCTGGGGTCAGGCACATGAGACTTTGTTGCCCGATTCTCTCTACTCCTGTACGTTTGAAATCTTCCACTAAGAAAGGACGGTGGTAAGTGGCTGTCGACTGTGAGCAGAGATGTGGAAGGAAGCGGAGAAGCTGCCCCGCAGTTCCCAGCTTAGGGACTAGGAGGATGACCAGCTGCGAGGACTGGCGGTTCCTCGGGGCATGGGGAGAATCGAGAGCTGAGAATGCTCATCTCCAGGGACCCCGGGGCTCCTGGGAGGTGGCATTAGGGTCTAAGGGGCTGGTTTTCTTTTGGGTTCCATGGGAACGCGTCTCGGAAGCTCTAATGGGGGTTGATGGGGAGGCAGGATGTGGCAGGTCCACGTCCCTCCAGTGAATCCTAAGGACAATGCAATGAAAACGCGAGGCCCAGCCCCACTTGCAGAGGCTGAGCTGTTTTCTGTCCTTCCAGAATGTCACCGCTAACCACCGGGCCAATGACGTCATTGCTGCCGAGGACGGCCCCCAGGTCCTGGTGGGACGGTTCATGTACGGGCCCCTGGATATGGTGGCTCTGACGGGAGAGAAGGTAAGGAGGCTGGGCCGTCCCTGCTTTGACTGACCACACGAGCACCAAGGGCCTCGTGGTACCTCATGGCACGTGGGGTGAGGGCCCTGGGGGCGCTGAGCTGGCAGACACTCACCTGCCGGGGAGGTCAGGGAGGGTGAGCCAGGAGCCAGGGCTGAACTGGGTGCATCTGAGAGGCTAATGTGGCTGCAGTGGAGGGAGAGGGTGGTAGGAGCCAGGAAGCATCAGGCAGGAGCCCAAGCTCCGGAGCCTGCTGTCTTGGCAGAGCGCTCCTGGCCGAGCCCCTGAGCCAAGCCTGCAGCCCCCCAGCCTTCAGTGAATTCCCTGGCCCCCTTGCTGCCTGCAGGTGGACATCCTGGTGATGGCAGAACCGTCCTCAGGCCGCTGGGTGCACCTGGACACGGAGATCACCAACAGCAGTGGCCGGATCACGTACAGCGTGCCGCGGCCCCGGCGCCTGGGTGTCGGCGTCTACCCCGTGAAGATGGTCGTCAGGTGAGACCCAGGAAGCACTCTCACGGTGGTGCACCCATTGTCACGACCCTTCCAGCCAAGTCTATCCAGAAGATGGGGCCCTTGGTGCTCTCTTTCGGGCCTCAGCCCTGTCAGTGGGGAGAGAGAAAAATGGACAAGGTCACCATCAGATTCTCTTTGACCCTGGCCCCAGACTGAGCTCTGATCCAGTGGCTCTGACCTCTGGCCTCAGGCTAACAACCCCTGACCTTGAGCACATAGCTGACCACAGGTGGCACTTTTCAGAGGCGACCAGACCTGTGCGATGAGCTACCTCACGGTGCTGCCCCGCGGCATGGAGTGCGTGGTATTCAGCATCGATGGGTCCTTTGCGGCCAGCGTGTCCATCATGGGAAGTGACCCCAAGGTCCGGCCGGGGGCAGTGGACGTTGTTCGGTGAGTGCCATCCCTGTGCAAGGGACATGTCCTCCCCGCGCAGGAGCCAGCAGGCCTGGGGGAGGTGGGTGTTTTTCCCGGTTTCCTCTAGGAATGCCGCTGGCCTCTGGGCCAGGAGCCCGGAGCCCTGGCTTCACCTCCAGTATTAATTCACCCAGCGTCCTTGAACTCTCCCTGCCACTTTCTAGACCCCAGGCCCTCTCTCCCCCTGCCTGCCTGCCCTCCCTCCTCCGCTTATCCTAACACTGTCTGAGCATTCTTGGCAGGGAATCAGGCCCGGCCTCTCACATTCCCACCCCAATCAGGATGAATTCCGGTGTTCTGATGATCTCTTGCTGTGTCACAAATGGCTCCAAACATAGCTGCTTAAAATCATAATTTATTATTGTCTCATGGTTCTGTGGATTGACTGCGTTCTTTCGAAAGGTTCTCACGTGGGTCTCTCTAGCGATTTTGGTCAGAAGGTGGTCTGGGCTGGGGGTCATCTGAAGGCTCCACGGGGCTGGGTGTTCACGAGGGCTGGCTCCTGAATGCATATGTTGTTCCTCATCTGGGTGGCTCTGTTTCCCCATGTGGCTGCTCCCCGTGGCTAGCCTGGGAGGTCTCAGGCTATTCAGACCTTGTACAAGGTGCTCAGCTTCCCCTGGTTCCTAGACACCCAGGTGGAAGCTGCGAGCCTTCTTCTGACCCAGCCTTGGGAGTCACAGTGTCCTTTCCACTGCTTTCTATTGGTTATAAGCTACTCGCAGGATCAGTCCAGATTCAGGGGGACAGGGCCACATAAAGGTGTGAATACTGGGACCTATGGCTCACTGAGGGGCCATCTTTCTAACCTAGCTAACATACAGTGCTAGTTGAGAGATGGGAGCTATTCTAGCGGGTTGGAGAAAGCATAGTAGGCTTCCTGAGAGAGGCAGTATTTGCGATAGCCGCTGAAGGATGTATGTATATATATTTTCAAACCATGCCATTGTGCAAATATTGATTGATTTAGGCCAAGAAGGAGGTTGCAAGGTGACAGGGACAGGGAAGAGCAGCGCATGTGTGGGGAACAGGTGGGACAGGTTAGGGTACTTGGAATTTAGAGACCAGATTAGGAAGGGGCAGGAGGGTGGCTGGAAACACAGCCCCCCAGGGCTATTGTTTTGCTGAGACACGGGCAGAGGGTTTTGCCAATAGAAAAGCAAAAGAGGCTCCACTTCAGTTCTTCCAGCCCTCCTTGGCTCCCTCCACCCCTGCCTCCATCTACCCTTTCTTAAGTCAGGCTCTGTTGTGGGCACCGATGTAGAGAGAGGTCCTAGTAGGAGGAATTCACAGTCCTGTGGGGAAAACAAGTCAGGGGCATGAGAAACTGATCCAGGACTCCAAGTGGTCAGAACCCTAAGAGTGGAACAGACCCTGGGTCCTGGGAGCTCTTAGTGTTGGGGTAGGGACTTTCCTGTCTCACCCCAGGAGCAGCGATCACTTTGGGGAGAGAATACTGGCCTGGCTCAGGGACTCCTAGGAGACTGCTGACCTCACGATGCCCACTGGCCCTGCGGGAACAGGTCAAGGACAGCCTCAATGTCATCTCAGGGGTCATCCTCTCCTGTATAAGGCTGGGCCATTTATTCCCATAACAACATCTTCTCCACTGGCCCCCTGTCCCCCACCGAACTCAGCATCCCACAGCTGGGAAGGGGAGGCTGTGGTTGGTCCCTCCTCTCTGAGGGTCCTTCCGGTGCTCTCACCTCCTTCCCCCGGGCTCCTGGGCCACTGTTGTGTTCTGCAAACCTTGCTGCTCATCAGAAGCTGCTTTTTGTCATCACAGGCCACTGGACCCCACCTCAGGACTAACCAGACTCCCTGGGGGTGACACTGGGGCCTGTGCATTGTTATAAAACCTCTTCAAATTTCTTAGATCATCTTCTAGGCCTGGAAACCCCCATCTATAGTAGCCAGTGGGTGGCTAGTGCCACAGAAGCTCCCAGACAAGTCTGCACTAATCTGACTTCTTACAGCCAGGATGCCTTGTGAAGGCAGCAGGGACACTACCCACTGTGCTGTGAGAGCACAGAGAAGAGACGCTGATTCAGCTTGGGAAGCAGGGAGGCCTTTCTGGAGGAGGGGGCCTGGAAAGATGGGAGGATGGGCATGTAAGGAAATGGAGCCATGAGGCCCTCTAGAGGAGGGGTGTGCAGTAGGAGAGCGCCAGGCTGGTCCGGGGCAGCCAAGCAGCTCCGTGTGACTGGGGGGAGGCCAGGCTCAAGGGCACAGCATGGAGGGACACTAGTGAGGAGAGGGCTGTGACCTCAGGGCACGGGGGAACCAGGAATGGCTTTAGGCAAAGAAGTAATCAGGTTAGATTTGTGATTTACAAACATCACCATGGTAACAGTACAGGGGATAATAGTACTGCAATTGTGTAGAGCACAGCAGGCCTGGAACGTTTGGGATTAATTCATTTCACCCTTAGGATGACCTGCACAGTAGTTGCTAATATTATCCCCATTTTGCAGAAGTGGAAACTGAAACCCTGGGGGTTAAGTAACCTGCCTAAGGTTGCACAGCCCAGGTTAGATTGAAGTGGGGGGAGTGGAGGCAAAGAGGCCTGCTAGGAGGCTCCTTAGTGGCCCCGGCAAGGCATGAGGCCTGAGCTAAGGATGAGACGTGGACTGAAGTGAGAACGTGCAGTAAAGATCCTGCCTGGTGGCATGAACGGCTGGCTCACTGATTGGAGGAGGAAGGAGAGGAAGGGGAGGAATCAAACGTGCTTGTCTCTGGCTCCAGAAACTTGAATTACATTGCCAGCACCAGAGAAGGGGACATGAGCAGCGGGGGCAGAAGTGGGGGGATCGGTTGGCTGTGACCATGCGGTGCCTTTGGACCATTCAAGAGAGACGTTCAGGACTCACGGGGGGCTCAACTGGGAGTGTGGGTTTGGGGTCCCCCTGGTTTTCCTGAGCACTCCTCGGAGCAGCCAACTCTGGTTTCTCAGGGAGGCAGCAGGTGGGGCAGGCCGCTGGGCAGCACGGGCTGGGTGTGGGCTGGACGCTGCGACGAATGCCCTCTCGCCAGGCACTGGCAGGACCTGGGCTACATGATCCTCTACATCACCGGGCGGCCGGACATGCAGAAGCAGCGCGTGGTTTCCTGGCTGTCCCAGCACAACTTCCCGCAGGGCATGATCTTTTTCTCCGACGGGCTGGTGCACGACCCGCTGCGACAGAAGGCCATCTTCCTCCGCAACCTCGTGCAGGAGGTGAGCGGCCAGCCCCGGGCTGGGCTGTGGCCTGGGAGGGGGTGAGACCTCCAGGGCCCTCCTCCATACTCCCTCGACCCCAGTGGGCCCTCATCCGTGTACCCCACCACCTCCTGTTGTGCACGTGGATGGCCAGTTTGCAAAGCACACAAGCGTGGATCTCGGTGGTTCCTTTTATAGCCTTTCCAGGTAGGTGTTGTTATCCTCAGTGACAGCTGAGAAAGGTGAGGCTCACAGACTTGCCCAAGATCTCAGAGTCAGGCTTTCACCCTTTTCATCTCCTCACCCTAAAGCCTGCACTCTCGTGTCTGCACTTGGTTGTTCACTCAACAGACACTTAAGGGTCTACTGTGCTTCTTACCTGTCCTCAGCCTTGGGGCCACCCAGAGACAAACAGAATGTGGGCTGTGCTCTTCGGAGCTTTGACGCAGAGCTGCGGTTTGGTTCTCACATTCTGTTCCCAGGACCCAAGGCACAGAATCCTGGGAGCTTATTAGAAATGCAGATTCTCTATCCTTCCCTCAGATCTACTGGATCAAAAACTCTGGAGAGGGGCCCAGCAATCTGTGTTTTAACAAACCCTCCATGGGATCCTGCTGCTTACAAAATTTTGAGACCCACTGATCTAGACCAGTGGTTGACAAACTGTGACTCAGGGGCTAAATCTTGCCAGCAGCCTATTTTATTTGACCTATGAGCTTATACTTTTAAATGGTTGAGGGGGACATCAAGTGGAGAGTAATATTTCCTGACATGTGAAAGATATATGAAGCTCAGATTTCAGTGTCCATAAATAAAGTTTTATTCCAACGTAGCCAAGCTCATGAGCTATGTTGTTGATGGCTGCTTCGAGATATAATGGAACAGTTGAGGAGCTGCAATAGAGTGCTGGGACTGAAATATTTACTATCTGGTCTTTCATAAAGAAAGTCTCCCAATCCCTGATCTAGAGGACTGAGAGCCTGCAAATCCCCCATTTACTGGTATGTAAGTAGAAAAGGCCCTATTGGCAAACAGAGAAAGGACCTTGTGTTGCTTGGGGAGGGCAGGGAAGGCTTCTAGGAGGTGGGAACTTTTGAGCTGAGTATTGAAGCATGAGTATGAGGTCGTCAGGTGGCCAAAGAAAGAGCATGTGCAAAGGCACTGTGGTAGGAAGAGCCTGGGATGTTCTCAGAGCTGCAGGATGGGATGCAGTGGCAGACCGAGGCCAGTTGGGAGCTGAGGCACCAGAGGTCATCAGGGGCTTCAGGTTGGTAGGTCTTGAAAACCTCAGAAGCCAGGCCCAGACCATGAAGTCTGCTGAGGGCAATGGGGAGCTATGGAAACGCTTAAAGTGGCAGTGTCTAATTTGGGCTATAGAAAGATCCCTCTGGCAGCTGTGTGGAGAACAGATTAGTGGGAGAAGCAAGAGGTGGGGAGGACAGTTAGGAAGCTGCCCAAGCAAGGGACAGGGAGATCAGAGTCTAGGTGGTAGCCATGGGATGGAGTGAAAGGCATGGGCAGATCAGGAGGTAGAATCATCAGGGCTCAGTGATGGTTTCATGGAGGGAGCAAGGAGCTCTCAGATATCCGTCTTGAGTAACCAGGAGAAACCCAGGAGCTGCTAATCTGACCTGACCGTAGTCTCCACGGAGGCAGAGCTTGTGTCCGTTTGTCACCAATATATCTCCAGCATCGGAGACAATGATGACAGGATAGGCACCCAGTAAGTGTTAGTGGGGTGAATGAGGGAATGAATGAAATGAAAGGGGACCAGGCTGGAGGAAGATGAGCTCATTTGTGGACACATGGAGGCTGGTATGGCCACTGGACATGAGCTGTGTCAGTCCCAGCAGAAGCAGGTCAATGAAGCCAAGGGAAGGGGTGAGAAGGGGTCGTGCTGAGCCCCCAAGAGCAGGAAGGGGAGCCAGCCAAGGAACCAGAGGCAGCCAGATGGGGAGGAGGCCAGGAGAGAGAAGCTTCCTGGGATCTGGGAGGAGGAGTTTTCAGGAAGGACACTCTCCTTGGGAAGAGGTGCGTTTGGTGAGAAAGGTCCTCATGATGAAGACTGGACACCGATGACCTCGGTGTAGAAGGGACGCCTCGGAGGGCCGAGGGGCAGGAGCAGTGGGGTGAGAGCAGAGAAGGGGGGTCTCGGCTCAGAAGGGTCATGGTGTGGGTGGGAATAGACTCTCTGGACTGAAGTCACAGGAGTGAGCTGGAGCCCATCAGGAGGTGGGACAGGGCGGGGCAAAGAGGCTGCTCCTTCACTGGGCTAAAGGCAGATTGGGGGATAAACCAATGAAGGGGGAGAGGGCCAGTGGGCTGAGAAGGGCCCCTCTTTGGTTCAACATCCAGGACTGGGTAGCAGCTCAGGGAGGGAAGTAAAAATCGCAAGTGTTTTCTAGGGTGGGGGAGCAGAAAGACTCTGTGGGGCTAGAGCTGGGTGGTTGTGTGTCTCTCTGGAAGCTCTCAGCAGCCAGCACACAGAAACGGCAGATGTGGAGCAGGCCCAGCGAGGCCACGGGGAGGCCACGGGGAGGCCACGGGGAGGCCACGGGGAGCCTGGGCAGGTGGGGAGGGTGAGGCAGGAGAGCTGTGCGGAGAATGCAGGTGGACAAGGCCAGAGAGGCTGGAGGCGGCAGAGGCGGGAGGAGCGGGGTCCCGTGGGAAAGCGAGAGGTCAGAGTCCAGAGGGGGCAATTCCGGGCTCAGTCTTGGAGGTGATGGCCACGACCGTAAAGAGGACCAGTCCCGGCTCTCACCCAAGAGGCTCAGGTGGTGGGTGGGTCATCCACGAGGACAGGGGTTCATCCCAGTGACAGTCGGACTTAGGAGGAAGAAAAGCTGTGACCTGGGACCAAAAGTCTCTGGTGAACTTGGGGGGAGGGTGAGTGGGAGAGAAGAAGATGACACTGGTGGGGGGGCTCAAAGTGAGGAGCAGTGAGACAGTGAGTGCCTGAAAAGAGGTGGGGTTTCATCCCCGGGGGGCAGGCGAGGATCCGGAGGCGATGCTGGAATGAGGAGGAGCTGGGCTGTTTTCTGAACTGGGATGAGGCTCCTGGGTAGGACATCAGACCAGCCAGACAAGGCAGTGGCCACAGTCCGGTGTGGTGGGGATGGCACAGGGACAGAGGCCATGCAGGACTGACTCCAGTCCCGGCCCTTTGATATGTCAACCTGGCCCTCAGTGTCCTTGTCCACAAAGGAGCGCTTTGCCCCATTGATACACAACCTGGTGCTGCGCAGCTCATGGTGTGGTCCTCACTTCACCAGGCAGAACCCTGTATTGGGCCTGGGGTGCAGGGTGGGGGGCAGAGAGGGAAGGCCACTGCAGGGTAGGCCCATGACTTGGCTTCCAACAGTGTGCAGATAAAGGGTCCCCAGCAGGAGTTTCCTGGTGGGGGAGGGTTGTCTAGGAATCCTTGGGAGAGGCTTGGCTGGGCCTCTCTCCCCCCATGAGCTGCTCTGTGTTTCAGTGCTTCATCAAAATCAGCGCTGCCTACGGCTCCACAAAGGACATCTCCGTCTACAGCGTGCTGGGCCTGCCACCTTCCCAGATCTTCATCGTGGGCAGGCCCACCAAGAAATACCAAACCCAGTGCCAGGTGGGTGGAGGCTGGGCTG